TTGTATAAATACGAAGTGAAATTAGTTTCGAAATACCCGACGAGAATATAATTTCAATTATGTTATAACATATTAAGCATATCATTATTTATTATTTTTATTGCTTAATCTTTGATCAGTATCACTTTGTATAACTTAATTTATAGAAATTCTAAATTCTATGCTTCTCATTTTCTACAATTTGAAACGAAAGTAGAATGTAATTATTTTGCGTTATAAATAGATTCTTATGAGTCAGAGATGAAACGAAATGAATGTTATTGTGAAACAATAACATTATAACATTGACATTATCTTAATTGTCCGAAGTTGATGAAAGAAAACATACAAGAATGTTATAACAAAAAAAAAAAAAAAAAAAAAAAAAGAAAAAAAAAATAGAAGAAACTGCTGATTATTTTCCAATTTCTCAAATTCTTTGAGAAAAGTGTTTTAAAAAGATCTCAGCCAAGGTTAACAAGATCGAAACCAGTCACAACAACCTTTGTAAAAATAACTACATTCTGTGCTCTAAAATGCTCCGTTCTTTCGAGTGCAATGTTCTTGTAACCTTCGCAAATTATGCCCACGCATAGTTTCTGACCTGAAACTCGTGTATTTTGAATCAACTTTCTTCTTCTTCCAATTATACTTTCTTTTAGAGTAAGTAAAATAAAAATGAAATTACAGCTGCCCGAGTTTCGCATTTTATTAATTATAAATTTCGGAGGTATAATTCGAATGTATAATTTATAAACATTGACGATCAGTGGCTCTGTTTTGTCGACAGTATATTTCTCTTTATCGATAAATCAGGCTGATCGACCAGTTGATACAAATGGTATCTTTGTTACCATGTAGCGGTCAAATCGATTTTGAATCACTTAAATTTACTATAAAAATCAATCGCAATTTCTGGCCTTATTATTCGATATCACGGTAATTAAATATAATAATGTAAGAAACTTAGCATTAGGTTAAAATAATTTACGCAATTTATTGCCGTATATTTAAACTTGATTTTCTTATGAAAAGGTCATTAGCACGGTTGACCAATTATTAACACCACGATAAAAATAGAAGATCAAACTTTTCTCATTTGAGAGGAAGTATAACAAACGTACACGTTTGTATTTTCTAATTTTATGTTACTTCATTTTACATGGAAAAGTAATTTCTAGAGAAGTTTCATTCTTCAGAGAATTTTTATTCTGCGCACAGCATGATCTTCAAACAATGAGTTACATAACGTTGCTCAGTAGATTTTTTAGAAAATTA